ACATCGCACATTAGAGAGTTATTTTAATTCATTTCATTTCATGCCCTAACGTTAATAAAGTTGCTTTTCATCAACCATATTGGGCTACTAGCCTACACTGACAACTTTGAGCATTTGAATACCTTAATGATAACATCACTCTTACGTATACATCACTCATCCACTAAATAAACAGAAAAATGATCGATACATCATAATTATTGAACATTGTAAACGCTAATGGTAGGTAGCCTCAGTCATTACATATAAATAGTTTAGATTAAGGTATATTAACTATTAAAAAGCAGTTAAATCTTCACTTAGCAAGTATAAAAGGCCGATTGAATATAGGACATTTAATCATTTTAAAAATTTCAATCATGTATGCGCGCAAGTTGAAAAATAGTAACGTAAAAATAGACATTGGCGACGCGCTTGAATATATCAAGGCTAAGAGTATAACACTCGAAAATCAGACAAAAAGAATTAAATTCAGGAGTGAATCTGTTGGGGACATTAGATTCCCAGAATTCACTTGAAAAATGTCCTAATTTTTTAATTTCATTCGGAAAATTTGAATTTCCATCTTTTTGTGTTATTTTGACCTTTAGCTTGCACTTTCCACTCGAGAAATCCATGACTGCCATTGGGTTAATGGATTATTTTAGTATGGTATTTTGTGGCTCTCATCAAATAAGCTTGAGTTATGTGCTTGTCAAATGTGTACTTTCTCTACGTCTTATCAAGACTTCTTCCTCTAGTTAGTGAGGCCTGGGACGATCGAGTTAGAATAGCCCATCGTTTCGCTGAATCATTGATTCTCGTTCCGTGACCGAGTAAGGTAAACTCTAAATAGTTCAAGCATATCAGACCTAGAAAAAATATCCGAAATCTGAAAAGCATGTTTCATACGATAAACAGAGATGTTACTTGTTACATTATACTCTGCTCTGATGTTGGTTGTCCCTCTGAAACCATTTTTATTAGTTTAGACCAACTAACTTATATCCCCCCAGAACTATGCAACGAACAGGTTGTAAGAGCTGACCTAGCCAAAAGCTATGTACCATTGAACATGTTGCCAATTCAAATTCATATATATATGGATTCTGAACATCTTAAAAACAATTTTGTTTAAATCGAACATAGTTTATTCACTTATCTAGTTGATACATATATATCAATAGTTATCGATCACTCGCTTGTTTGAAATATTTTGTACTGAGAATTTCATATTAAACTTACCATATCGTATTGAATGAAGTCATTAGTAGTAGTAATAAAGCCAGTAATAATAATAATAATAATAATAACAATAATAATAGCGTATTTTCGCATAGAATAAAACATACATTTTCACTATACCCTGTACACTTAACATTAATTATCTAAACTTGAAATTCAATCTAATGTGAATACGAATAATATTTTACTGACAAGTTGACTAATTTCACCAAAGGTTATCTACTAAGTATAAGCACTTACTTATATTATTATATAGAGCCAGCCATTTATCATAATTATCTTTTCTATCCTTCTCCTTCTCTATTGCCAATATTCATGAATATTTCATTATTCATTACACACACATATATATGTATATATAAATGGATTGCAATCATTTCTAGAACAAAGATCCTATCAATAATAAAGTAAGTACATTTCAACAATAAACTTCATTTCTACATGTTTACAGCATTGATTCCAACTTTGGGACGTTATGCAAGCGAAAAATATGCGATTTTCAGTTGTGTAACCTTTTTATTATTGATTGTTAGATTTAATGAAGTTGAGAAGACGTGATTAATGGAGTTCAATCCTGTCGGGTGTAGATAGTTACTACCAAAGACAAATGGGTGAGGTCGCGCAAAATCCCTAGATCAATCAGAGTTAGACATTAACACCGTTGGATGCTGGCCAGCACAGTGGTCCAATGGTTAGACGTTCGCGCACAATATCGAAGGTCCCTGGTTCGAATCCTGTGAGGTGCAGGAGTCGTGGAAGCGCACTGCCACTGATGAGTCCCATACCAGGATGAAACGGCCGTCCAGTGTTTCCAGGTTTCTAATGGTGTTTCAACAATGATTGATTGATGATTTCAAATGTGTAAAAACACAAAAACTCCAAAACTCTGCCCGAAAGTAGTTATAGTTCACTATCGGTGACCTTAGCTGACAGAATTGAAATTCATTTATTCACAGTGAGACAAAAATGAATTCACTGTTTAGATTTATGGATTTGCACTAAGTTTATGCCTAGACTTCATTTATTTTCTGCTTGGACTTGATTGTTTATGCTTAATTTTTCAATGAATATGGCTCAGTGGTCCAGAGCTTAATCGTTTGCGCACAAGACCGAAGGTTACGAGTTCGAATCCTGTGAGGTACAAAAGTCATGGATGTGCACTACCACTGATGAGTCCTGTACCAGGACGAAACGGACGTCTTTCAGTACTTCCAGGTTTCTAATGCTGTGGTCTAACAATGATTGATTGTAGATTTCAGTGTGCAAAAACACTAATCTCCATAACTCTCATTGAAAAATATGGTTATTCACTTCGATGTTGTAACATATAGCATGATCTCACTGATTAATGCATGCCTTATATTTGACGTTTTTAAACGAAAATACACACAATAATTATAGACTTTTCACTTGTAGGAGTTCGATGATGAACTTATTGAACACAAGTTTTTACTTAAATATTCTATATTTCTGACTATTTCCATGTATTTTATCAATGATCGTTGACAGTGAAGTTACATTAGGACTTTGGCAGATGGTCATTTGTGTCAGATCTAATCCGAAGTAAACAGAAGTAATAAGCGAAACAAAAATTATTCCGATTACATCAAACAAAAATCACACTTAACACATAAAACAATCCGTTAAATGTTCAGTTCAGGTCCCACCGTTGTCAAATTTCAATATCCTTATTGATCTGAGAAATTAAAACTTCTTAATTAATCTTAATTTAAATAAAGTAATTGTGACACACATCTTTTCATTGTTTTGTATAAGTTAAACACTCTATTGCGTTGTATTCATTTGACTTGTTGTTTTATTATTTATTCCTCCTATAAGATGTTTCACATTTTTAATTATTCGACATTGAAACTGGAATAATAAAACAACTTTGAAATTGATCATTGATTCCAATGAGTTTTGTTTTAAGCAAAAATATTTAGATTATATTGTTACGCTTGTCTCTAGGTATGCTTAAAACTGTTTACGGGTTCACCTTAGTCGAATAACAAGAACAAACCAATGAACCAGCGTCCAGGTAGGCTACTGTGATCCGATTGTCTCAATTGTACGAGCAAAAAATCTTTATATAGCGTAGAAAGTGTATTCTACAAACACTCAGCCAGCACACAATGAATCCAAGCACTCAAATCGCGTTTCTTTATACTCTATAGAGACGTCCTTGGGACAGTCAGTCACAAAATAGCACACTAAAATGACACAGTAACCAGTCACAGCCAAGGATTTTCCTGGTGGGAAATGTGATCTCAAGGTCAACCGATCGGTCCATGAAATAAATCCAAAACTAAGATATTTATCAAGCGAATTCTGGGGATTTAACATCCCCAATATGTATTCTCTTTCTCATTAATCGATTACTCGTCTAATAAGTGTTCACAATCAAAAAATTTAATCTTTAAAATCATGATTAATCAAAAACAGTCAATCATTATTGATGCCTATTTTTTGGTATGGTGTTTTAGTAAAAATAAAATTGAATATTTTTTAAAAAGTATCAGTGAAGCGGTTGACCATTTGTTCAATCATATATAAAAGATACTACTTGTTTGCATTAACAAACATCCCTTCTTTTCTATTGACTACTAATCATTGAATATGAGCTAATGTTATTATTGTTTATTGAAGAGTGTTTAATCATCAGTTAAATTGGCTTAAACATAGTGTTGTACAACACAATTTCGATTGAATTTAGTAATTGTAGATAACATTGGGGTAAGAACCTTGCCTTGGCTCCATTTCTTATTCTGTTTTGTGCTAAGAGTATGAAGAAGCTGGTACGCATCATGAAGTTTGATCTAGCTTAACTAAACATCCATGAGCTACTCGGTCAGTGACTAATCTATCGTAGAATTGAAATCCAGTAAGAAAGCTTATAACTCTGTCTGCTATCATCTTCTTCTTTCACTGACAATAGTTTTCTAGACGTACTCTAGAGTACTCTTTTACTGTTATTAATCTTACAATAATTGCAACTTCCTAGCTATTCACCCTCCTCATTTCATTTGATTATGCTGATAAAATGTGGCAGCCTGCTCCAATGCTGTATAATTCCGCTCTGTGCCATGTTAATTATCACTGACTTATATTGATTAGTAAGCATTTGTTGAAAGTATAGTTGACAGTAATCTTACCTTATTGATTTGTTCAGTTCTACGAATTCACCAATAGTGAATAAACCCGTTTTTTTTAAATCTGAATCCAATACACATGCTTTCGTGAATATCGACTAAGTTCATCAGAAAAAATGCATTTTCTTATTGGAATAAAAGACGGTGAAAATGTTATAGAACAACTGACTATGTACACAACTAACATTTAAGCAGAAATGTTTAAATTTTTTTTTTACATAGAAATAAAAAATGACAATAAATTGTGTTTTTTTTCTCTGAAATTAAATCCCTTCGCGCATTTTCGAATTCATAATCTAGTTAGCCATTTTGAATTCGTTAAAACTGAATTAGGCCGGATGTAATTCACTACTTAGATTCAACTTCATACTTACAAATCACGATTACTCTACTTATGTGCTTGGAACATTTTAGTCAAACTGATCAATGTAGATATATATTTTGATTGGTTTATAGGAATTAGTTACAATGTCAAATTATTTGATTTCTACATATTATTCTCTGTGATCGTGAACTACATAACGTGGATTATGAATTTGTAATTAAATAGCAGAATACCATGTACTATAAATGTCATATACTACTTATTATTGAATTTTATGCCATTTATTATTATTATTATTTTAGCTCTCATCTTCCGGTGTACCGATGGATTTTAAAAATATTCATGAAGTAATTGATACAGCCATTGGAAAAGAACTTGAAGTCACTGCACAAATAAATACATTGCATAAGTTAGCATCGAAAATGAATGATGCAATTGTAAGTTTGGATTATTTTCTCTAGTTGTATTTCATTATGCTTCCATCTAAAGTTTCCTAATCCATTCTACAGCAAATGATCAGTTTTTACACATTTGAAATCATGAATTGATCAAAGTTAGACCACCATTAGAAACCTGGAAGCACTGAAAGACGGCCGTTCCATCCTGGTATGGGACAGTGCGCATTTATGACTCCTGCACCTCGCAGGATTCTAACCCAGAACCTTCTATCTTGCGTGCGAATGCCTAACCTCTGGACCACTGAGCCGGCATCAAACGGTGTTAATGTCTAACCCTGATTGATCTAGGGATTTTGAGAGACCTCACTCATTTTTGTCACGTGTTCTCACCAGAACTCCGAGAATTTTCTCAAAGAAGCTAGTCACCTGTGAGCTTATTTTACGATTTTTCATTTAGAGTTATGGAGATTATTGTTTCTACACATTTTAAATGATCAATCAGTGCGCATCCACGACTCCTGCTGATGGGTCTCATACTAGAATGGAACGGCCGTCCAGTGCTTCCAGGTTTTTAATGGGGGTCTAACAATGATTGACTGATGATTTCAAATGTGTAAAAATAATAATCTCCATAACACTAATTGAAAAATGATCGATGGTTTCATTAAAAGTTAGTAATTTTGTTTTAAAAAACAAACGCATGAACCATTGGGATTCAATTAAACAATTTCAAATGACATTCTTTAGGTTACACTTAAAGTTAACTGAAGGTATATGTTGTTAGAGTTCTTCAACTTGGAATAAAATAAATAATCACCAACTGAAAGCTGCAGTTTTGATGAATAAAAGACAGCTTTTATTATATTACCATTGGTAAATCACTTTGATTTACTGAATTGAATGAAAAATACTGAGGTTTTACTGACAATCATGAGAATAGTCTAAATGTGTTGCGAAGCTACGGAAAATGATCAAAGTGCTTGATATAGAGAACATTCTAATCTACAGCATCATGTATCCAGTTTCAGTCGAGCTTTACGCAGATACTCAACTGAATGATAATAATTCTCATTGATATTCAAACTAAAAATGATTATTTTCGGGTAGAGTTCTGGAGGTTTGTGGTTTTACACATTTGAAATCATCAATCAGTCATTGCTAGACCACCATTAGAAACCTGGAAACACTGGACAGCCGTTTCGTCCTGGTACCAGACTACTTATCAGTAGTGCGCATCCACAACTCCTGCACCTCACAGGATTCGAACCCGTGGCCTTCGATATTGTGCGCGAACGCCTAACCATCGGACCACAGGGCCGGCATCCAACGGTGTTAATATCTAACTCTGATCGATCTTAGGATTTTCGCGCGACCTCACCTAACAATGATTGATTGATGATTTCAAATGTGTAAAAACACAAACCTCCAAAACTCTGCCCGAAAATATCGTTACAGTGCTCACTAGTGACTAGCTTCGTGAGGAAATTCTCGGAGTTCTAGTTGAGAAGACGTGACCAATGGAGTTCAACCCTGTCGATTGTAGGCAGTAACTACCAAAGACAAAATTCTCTTAGATATTTAAACTAGAAATGATTAGTTTGTATTTATTAAACTATTATCCTCCAAACTAATGCATTCGGTTAGTTATTCCCGCATCAAATTATGCTGTATTTTTGCATTAATTTTTCTCATTTTTATTCTTATGTAATCTGTGTAAGACAATCCGATTATGCAATTATTCTCTTTTCATCCATCTTGTGCATTATTCATCATTATTACAAATAACACCAACACATTTTCATGCATTTGCTTACATTTCAAACTTATCCAATCCAAATTCTTACGTAACTAACTGCATGCAACCGCAACAATCCACCGGTTTTGTGTGTGTGTGTATAGTTTGTGCTCAAATCTAATCCGCTGAGTTACTAGCTGATTACACTGTCTCTTTAGAGGAAATATTGATTGTCAAATCGCTAGATTTAATAAAGCGTAATAGCATCGATTAACCTTGCCTTCTCACCGCCATATTGGGCAACATTAAAAACTTTCTATCATTGAATATTGAACAACTCCTTGAATAGTCAGTAAATATATATATCCAGTAACATTTGAGTGCCTGATAATAATAATAATAATTATTATTATTATTATTATTACTATTATTATTATTATTATGATATTGATTTTCCAATCGATCAGTTATAATCAACTTAGAATCTGGTTTAAAACGCTGCATGCTGCTAATTAAATGCGGTGAAAAAAAACTTTTCATCTGTTAAGTTTTGAAAAAAAAACAAGGCATGTGAAAACAAGCCTTGTTTTTATTTTATTGATTGCTTACACTGACTGATTAGAAGACCCTAGTTGAACTTTTATACTCATGAAAAAAAACACTGAAAGCATTCACCAGCTAAAGGTCATTTGTGTCTTTGTTGACAGTGTATGGATGATTTATGCTTTTCACTGATTAAAATGCCTATTAGAAATTACAGTCGTTTTTTTCTTAACTGTCTCACGATGAGATGTAATTTGTGTAATTTTTTTTGAATATATATATTATTGTAAACAATTTCCACAATGGACTCGAATGTGATGATGAGTCACAGAGAATAACACTGGATGTACTCCATTTATTCTACTTATGCATTGAAAGTAAATATATAAGATTGTATTTTACTAAACACACATTGGAAATGAGTCTAATATAATGATCAGTGGAGGGGAAATTATTGCTCATCAATGAATATATATATATGTATATATATATATATATATATAAACCAGGAATACTGAATACAGCTTTCATTTGAGTGGTATTTAAACAACCTACTACTACATAGCCAGGAAAATCTAGAGATATTTATACTTACTTAGTTTTCATCACTTTTAGCTCTCCGTACTCAAATCTAGGCACTTACTGCATTAATTAGGTCGCATTGTGGTGCGCGCTACTTATAAGTAGTATATGACGCGAGTGAAAACGTAATGTCTGGCAGCAGAAGATGGGGGAAGATCAAGAAAGGAAGAGTGGGAACACAATGGAATTTGTACGAAACGCATGAACAGTGAAATGTCAGACAATCGATTGGTGTTTTGCAAATTAACGGTTTATGATATAGTTTTCCTATTTTACCAATTAACTCTGTAATTTTTTATAAATACCATTCGGTTGCCCTCACTTGTGTTCTCCTTCACTACATTTTTACAATACTGTTAGATACACCAAACACCTCTAGCATATGCCCTCCTATGGTGTGGACAGCTAATGTACATGGTTTGATTGTCTTACATTGCTCTTTGCCTATTAACGATATTAATGCCCCTGTATCGATCAAACACACTAACTCCTGTTCGTTTATGTATACTCTGACATAAATTGCCCCTCTATCTACTAGTGCAAGAACCCCCAGATTCCTAGGGCGGAAAGAACACAGGTTATGTCTAAAATTTGGTTTACTAGTCTCAGCTGCTGGGACAAGGCGGCAGACACACTCTCGACAAACTGCGACGTCAACAACTGTGCCTCCGACTACTCATCGATATTCGGCAGCGCACGGTGCAACAATCTGGTGAGCTCCACAGCATGCACCAGCGGGTCACCATCAGCCGACAGCCTCACCAACCGGAACTACTGCAGCGCTCTCTCCCTGTCCACTGGGCTGTCGAACTCCGTCATCAGCCGCCCGGTGACCGTCTCCCACGCCCTCTTCCCGGCGGCACCGTCCGGACTGTCGTATTCGGCCTTTGCCCTACCTCTCAGCAGCGTCCCCCAGCACCACCAACTTCGCCCTCGGCTCCTTCACACCCACCAGCTCCACCACGGCCTCAAACTCCTTCGGCCATGGAATCTTCATCCTTTGTGCAGGCAGCGACACCAAATGTAGTGAAGGAGAACACAAGTGAGGGCAACCGATTGGTATTTATCGAACATTACAGAGTTAATTGGTAAAATAAGAAAACCATATCGTAAACAGTTAATTTGCAAAACATCAATCGATTGTCTGACATTTCACTGTTCATGCGTTTCGTACAAATTCCATTGTGTTCCCACTCTTCCTTTCTTGATCTTCCCCCATCTTCTGCTGCCAGACATCACGTTTTCACTCGCGTCATATACTACTTATAAGTAGCGCGCACCACAGCATATGTTAATGTACCTTAATTGGTTATAAGACTAAGTTAATAAACTAACTTAGTTAAAGTAGTAAGTAATTCATTGTAACTTGTTTGTTTACAAATTATTCAGTAAACAAATTAAATTGTATACTACATTGTATTTATTTTGAATATTTTCACATAGACACAAGATTTTTTGGATGATTTCCTTCAAGAACAAGTGAATTCTGTGAGTAAACTAAGAGAAATGCGTGCACGTCTACGATTGGATAATAGTGCAGTTTATTTGATGGATAAAGAATTTCGTTGAATTAGGGAAATCTTCTCGACACACACACCAATAAGAATGGGCCTTGTTACTTTGTTAATCAATCATATGAAAATTGTAGACAATTGTTATTAATATTTTCCTGTAGAAAAAAAGCTGACAGTGATTTTTACATCTGCTCAATCTATTCTGTTTGAATACGTTGAAATGTGGTTTTTTCTAAAAACTGATTTATTCATCTGAATTTCTTTTTCATATTCTTAATCATTTAAATTCAAATTGTACTGATAAAAAGAATTGTTACTTATTTGACCGAGTTTTAAAAGCATCAACAACAATGTATTGTTATATTTGATATATTCATGGTTTCAAAAATGTGTAGCTTAACAATCTTCACAACCCCGTAATGCAAATTACCTTTGCTCACTAGTGACTAGCTTCGTGAGGAATCTTCTCCGAGTTCTAGTGATAAAACGTGACCAGTGAAGTTAAACCAGTTCGAGTTTAGACAGCAACTACCGAAGACTGTGTATGAGGTTGCGCAACTCCGTGAATTTGATCAAGTTAGACATTAACACCGTTAGATACCCGCTCAGTGGTCTGATGGTTAGGCGTTCGCGCACAATACCGAAGGTCCTGGTTTCGAATCCTGCGGGGTGCCGGAGTCGTGGATGCGCACTGCTGAGGAGTCCCATACCAGGACTTGACGGCCGTCCAGTGCTTCCAGGTTTCTAATGGTGTTGTCTAACATTGATCGATTCATGGTTTAAAAAACGTGTAACTTAACAATCTTCACAACCCCATACTCGTAATTTTACAAATCATCACTTTCAGTGTGTGAAATGAGACTGATTAGGTGTATTTCAACATCCCAGGGAAAAATTTTGCATGTGTTTATCAGCCGTTTTATTTATAATATCTATCCATGAAGATTTGGATTCCCGTTTCACTTGGTGAGTCATTAATGGATTAGATCATGATGAACAGATGTTCTCATTCTGGCAAGTTGATAGTGTGATGACTTCGTGTAATGGATTTGAGTTTGATTCAATAAGTAAATAAGATCGTGCTTGAATAATTACTAGGGAAGTCAATGCACTACTTAATACTTATTAAAGTAGCCTAAGTAAAATTTCTAAAAATGTAAAACTCATTGTCACGACGATTTTCATCTGCGAATACTATTCGAAGACAGAAGCATTCGACGGTACTTGCACTCAGTTTGTGGACACTGGAGCTACCGATGAGCACATTTTCATATAAAATCAAACATTAATATCCGTTGAATTTTAGTACCGTTACATGCGACCGTTTAAAATTCCTATTCTTATAAGATTTTCCTAACTGTTCACCCATAATATTATCGTTCGATTTTATGGCCCTCTAATGTCTAAAAGTTCTGTTAACAACAAACAGACCTAATCCTGAGACTAATTAAGTTGCTCACTGTATTCCAAATAACTACATAGATAAGCACCATAGCAGAGCCTTCTAATTATTTCTCGATTTTAGACAAGTGATTATAATAGTATCAACCCAATGAAAGAGATTTCTAGTAACATTTGTTCGGAGAGTTTTAACTGACTCACTACTGATTATCAGTCCCTAACTGCACACTAACTCTTTAAACGTATATCTTAATTTCTCTTGCATTCTATAAACATGTTTACTTATTTTATTAATGGTCACTAGGTAAATCCAGAAAGTTCTTATATAAGACCTTCCAAATAGATCTACCTTGAATGCAATATTTAGTGTTATCACTCACACAAACTTTGTATCCACTGTTATTCACCCATAATAAACTGAAAAAGGCTTCAAAAACCAGATCTACATGTTATTACATTTAGTTATGATCTATATTAAGTTTGTTGGAACTAGGTGATACAAAATAGATTATCGGTGTTATGAAAATATCAACGAATAAAGTTAAGGTATGATAAAAGTAGAGAACAAATCAGTCTGCAAACAAGAAACATATGCATATGACAGCATTTATCCCTACCTGATTGTCTACTCTCCCTGACCTTCATAAACTGTGACACAATACAATCACTCATATTAGTTAAACTGACAAACATCTTTAAAAGATATGCTACATACTGTCTCTAACAGTGTTACCATGTATGAATTTATAATACGGAAACTACTGATTCTATGTAGACAAGTGATGCAATGATACGTATTGATTACACAGAAAATCCATTGCTCATTCTGTTGGAATAACTTCATTTTTTACGTTCATTAATCGTAATCTTCAGTTACGCAAAAAAAAATCGTGTTCATCAGTCATGGGCAACGCACGAAGTTGTATCGGTTAAAGTTGCGACACTACACTGGCAAAACGAGATGAAATTGTTGAGAAAAATGCCAGAGTAGTAGAAATGCTAACAACCTCAATGACAATCGTAAAATTGAACATATACTATATGAGAACAAGGGGAAAAGACATTTTGAAATTCAATATTCACGGGAAGATAAAGAGTGAATACACATGCACAAAAGCTACTATTTTTGTGTCGCATCACACACCATCTGTGACTATCGGTCATAATAATCGCGCAGACCTTAAACAAGTGGTCTGAACATACTAACCCAGTTCAGTCCAAACGTCAATGACTCCATGATCAGTTAATTAGTTTTTTAGCTAACAACAACATAAAACTTCGTACGTACGTACATCAGTTCATGTTGCCATACCACATTAGCACAGGGATGCAATTATCACTTCAAAACCCATAGTAGAAGAGGTATTAGCAGTAATCGGAAAAATTAGGGATTGAACATTTTATTCAAGAAGTAGAATCAAGTGAAATAAACTTAAAAAGAAAAAGTGATGAGAAATTAAAAAGTTTAGGATTTGAGAGAACACAGAGAATGAATGCACCTGCGTCACTGTAAACGTTTTTGAGCCATGTCATTCAACGTCTCTAACCATCGATTACTAACATCACGCGGACCCCAAACAGGTAGTCGACACCTACCGACATGACTCAGTCCAATCGTCAGTGACTTCATGGTCTAACCGCCCCTAGCCTCCTTCCAACCTATTCCTACATCGCAAAACAGCTTGACGAGGCAGTCGGTGATCACACATACGTAACATATGTCCCAACCACCTCAAATGATGCAGTTTCAATACTTCGTCTATTGATCTAACATCTTCATCTAGGACCCGTTTCCTAACGACAGCATTGCTCAGTCGGTTTTCCCAAGATACACGAGCGATGCTCCGGAGACACCTATGATCGAAAACAAGCAACCTACGAATATATTCTACTCTGACTGACCATGTTTCGCAGCTATAAAGTAGAACGGATAGAACAGCTATGCAATGTACACTCGTCCTTTGGTTACCAAACAGATAACTTGTCTACGCCATAAGTTGACAAAAGTCAATCGGACTTTCTGTATCCGTGCTGAGATTTCGTCAGTTACCAGGTCATCAGCACTGACGGGACTCCCAAGTTAAGTGAAGCGGTCAACACACTCAACTGCTTCACTGCTTATCACTAGCTCAAATTGTTAATACAAGCCATGAACTGATATCATGCCGTAATTTGGTCATTTTTCTCAATCAATAAGGCAAAAAAATATTTAAAGAAAACAAAAGATGATATCTTTTTTATATTACTCCAAACTATTTGTATAAACCAAGAAAAAACATAAATAATTGGACGCCTAGTCAGAAAAAGATTAGTAAACGGTATACAATAAAATCTACAAATGACCATATACATTTTTTTTGAAACCATGAATCGATCAATGTTAGACAACACCATTAGAAACCTGGAAGCACTGAACAGCCGTCCTGGTGTAGGACTCCTCAGCACTGCGCATCCACGACTCCTGCACCCCACAGGATTCGAACCCAGGACCTTCGATATTGTGCGCGAACGCCCCAACCGTTAGACCACTGAGCCGCTACCTAACGGTGTTAATGTCTAACTTGATCAAACAATAAGCATATGACGAATGACAAGCTCTATTGTTGATTATTGCCATATCCAATTTACGTTAGACAAATAAAAAGGCATAAATTATTTATTTTTATGTACATAGATAGAGAGTAGAGTAGAAAGATCAAAAATTTCACAAAAGTCAATGTTAGAAAGAAAAATATACAACAAATAACAAGTTAGATATTACTGCTACCTAGTAATCATGAAACGTAATTTTAATCAAATGCGAAAATAATTCCTTTTCACTATTCATTCAGTGAAATGAGGACTACAAAAGTAAGAAATCAATTATTGCCTCTTTACAGAAGAATTATTTTCAAAGCATCATATTAATCGTCTTCCCAAAGAGATTTCTGTGCTTGACGAATAGCTTCCGCACGAGCTGAAACATAAGAAAGAGAACAGTAGTTTAGTCAGTGGTTATGCCATAAAATACACCTCGTCACTTGCTATACTTGAAAATATTACGAGTTCACCTTAGTCGATAAATGAGAACGAGACAATGAACTAGTGTCCGGGTAGGCTACTCTGATCCGTTGAACCAAAGGAACTGACGAAAAAGTCTTGATATAGCGTAGAAAGTGTATTCTACGAACACCCAGCAAGCACATAAATCGCGTTTATTTATACATCATAGTAACGACCTTGGGAGAGTCACAAAAATAGCACACTAAAATAACACAGTAACCAATCACAGCCAAGGATTTTCCTGGTGGGAAAGGTGTTCTCAAGGTCAACCGATCAGCCCATGAATAAAATCCAAAATGAAGACGTTTTATCAAGCGAGTTCTGGGGATCTAACGTCCTCAACAATTATCATATGCGATAAGAATAGACATATATTTTTTGACATGTACATAATAAATGAATTATGTGTAATTATGTGTGTAATTCTTGAAGAAATCAATCACGTGTAAAAAACAGTCACCTCAAACTATTAAACTTTATTCACTAATCAATAAAACTAACTGCTTAGAAAGTATTTTAACCAGTAAATAATTGAGATTTCTTGATCAAAATGCTGTGCCTCAATTCATACAACTCATTTTTATTAAATAACTGAAATTTTACACTGGGATTAGATCAAAATGATTTACCAGTGAGTGAGTGAGTGATAGAATGTTCAAAGCTATAATATCACGACCTGCTTTGTGATATATTCGCATGAAGTAATTATTAGCAATCGGAAGAAATTTTAGCTGTAACTTTTTATGTTGAGCAATCAATGTATGGAGAACCGAGTTAGGAGCTGTCAACAGCAACAACGAAAAGCCATGTACCTCTATATCATCTAGATTTCATTGATTTTTTAAACTGATTATTAAGAATCGTTTACGACCTGTAAAACTATTGATGATTAATTAGTGTGTTAAGAGTGAAATTCTACAATGTTCCAGTTGAAGATATCAAAGCTTAAGTTTATTATAAAACTACTGAACAGTAGTTAGTAAACCTAGTATTAGAATATTCATAAAAATATTTCAACAATTATTCTGTTAAGTTGAATTCTATCATTGAATGTAAAATCGTATGTTTTCACACTTTTCACATATTTCACATCTCGTTTCCTATTGGTCGATATTAAGGTCATCCAAACTGTATAAATATGCATTGTTTGTAAAGTTTTAGGCTGTATTCTTTTGACCCCGCAAACAATCTGCATCTGACGGTTTTGTGCTCTGGTGTATATTTGGAATTTGGGAAACAGAATTTGCCGGCGTATTGGATTATCTGAAGTTGGCCAATCGGTAGAATTTCGAGTAACCACATCGTGGAACACAATACTTAGGCTAAACATATGAACACGAAAAGCATCATGAAGCACAGAGACTAAATCTTCAAAACTCTATTTCCAACCCCATTAAACATTATTTAACCAATAAGATCAACTCTTATTGTTAAGTACATCATAAATCAATTAATCAGGCGGGTTTTCATTTGCATGCATTTAAAAAATGCTCCACTAAAGCCTAATATATAACACAAATCAACCAATGACAGTCAAGGGATTTTCCGAGTGGCAAATGTAATCTCAAAGTCAATTGATCAGTCCATGCGCCAGAGCATAAAATCCAAAATTAGGACTTTGTTCAAGTAAGTTCTGGGGATCTAACATCCCCTAACAGAACCACATTAGAATATATATAGATTGACCATTTATTTACTACATACAAATGAAAATGAAGCAATACATTTTGTTTACGAGTGCATTTTATTTTAATGAGAGGTAAAAGTTATGGTCGAATTGGTTTACTTTCCACCTTAGCATAATTGATTTCTACTTTTTAAAAAAAAGACGGAAATATCAATACACTTACTTGATCGAATATTGAATAAATAAATAAATTGAACATTCAGTAGACAATTAATAATCATTAAAATAATTTTTTTTTAAAAATTATATCTCAATGAATAGAAATTTGAAGCTCTGACATTTCATGACTTAATGCTGTTATAAATATTCTCTTAGTAAAAAACCCAGCTATTCCTATTGCTTAGTATTCTCTGACAACAATACACTCGACAAGTGCCCAAATCAGAACATGGTTGAACAGGAAAAGATTAGCAAGGTCAAATGGAAGTAAGAAGCCGAAGGGAAGGCGAAATAGGAAGAACGTTAGTCTCTTTATAGTTTTAATATGATGATGATCATCATCAACAGCAACGTAGAACTTTGCACGTAAGTACATTAGTTCAAGTTGCCATACCACATCAGCACAGAGATATAATTGTCAATTCAAATCCCATGGTAGTAAAGGTATTAGAAGTAACAAGTAACCTACGAATATCTTCTACTCCCATTGGCCATATAGTAGGACGGAGCGAACTACTGCGCAGTACATTCGTCCTTTAGTCAGCAAACGGATATCTCGCCTACGCCATAAGTGACGCAGGTTGGCAAAAGCCAATCGAGCCTTCTGTATCCGAGCTGAGATTTCGTCAGTCACCATGCCATCAGCACTGATGAGACTCCCCAGATAAGTGAAGCGGTCTACACGTTCGACTACTTCACTCCCTATCACTAGTTCAGGTGCCGATGAAACCCAATCTTGAAGCAACATTTTGCATTTCGTGGATGAGAACCGCATCCCGAACATGCTTGCATTGTTGTTGAGGGTGGTCAGAAGACTGCATTTTGTCAGCGTCTTCACCAAGTAGGACTATGTCATCGGCATATTCTAAGACGATAAGCGAGCCTCCTGGTAAAAGGTCTACTCCTGAAAATTCAGACGAAGATAATATTATAGCTAGCATCATGTCTATTACAATATTGAACAAGAATGGGGAGAGTGGACATCCCTGATGGATACCACCTGAAGTAAAGAATTCCGATGAAAGTTGGCCATAAGCTCTAACTCGACCTGTAGTGTTCGAGTAAGAGAGCTTGTATAAATAAGGTTAATGTACTTCTTTGGTACACCTTTCAATGACAGACACTGACACAGAAACTTACGATCAACAGAATCAAATGCCACCTTAAGTTTTAATATGAGAAGCTTCTGGAATGTACTCGAAGTATCGACTAACGTTGATCGGATTACATTTAGCCAATCTACATGCAGCTAACAGCACGAGAATTTTCTAGAATGCTCTCCGAGTGTCGACCAATCGCCGATCGGTTAGAAATTAGCCAATCAGCGCGCAACTAACGCAGTCACTTTCTTCAGAGTAAATAAATAAATGAAAGGAATTAACACAAGTTTGAGTATTAGTATTAGTAGTAGTAGTATAGAGGAAATAAAATATCATGTTCTTAAAATTATTGCTATTTCAAAATGAATAAAATAAAACAAAGGTATATAAAATTTACCACGTGCTTCTTGTAAAAGAGCTTTATCTTGTTTTTCTTTTAAAATATCTTCAGGAGATTTGATTTTAGTTGAAACAATACCCAAATGATTTGAAATTAATCTTCGAGCTGTTGAACTTGTTGTAATTGGTCGTTTTTTATACGGCATAGCCCAGTCACCAGGTGAACGAGCAATTTTTAACTTACTAGCCAATGAAGCATCTTTAATTCTACGTGCCTATATAGAGATGAAATTAATTCGTGAAAATATTTGTAACATTCAAGTAGCTTAATGAACTAAACAAGAATAAATAACAACTTGGAAATTAAATGTTAGCAAATTTACCGAAAAAAATTACATTTGACACTCAACACAATGCACTACGCAAAACTAAACATTAAGTTTAAATCGTGGGGCAATGTGAATTAGAGCCACTTAAGGTGTGTGTATGCAGTGGAGTGATAGCTATAAGTGTTAGTAACCATGGAAGCTTCAAATGACCAGGATATCAAAAAGAAGATCAACTTTTACCTTTAAAATTCATACGGACAATTAAAAACGTTAACGGTTCTGTATCTCTTTTTTAGACGTGCATTTGACTACTATTTAGCCATAGCTGAACTGCAATTAGTACTGCATTAATAAGGATTGGTCTACAGATCGATTAACATATACCGAGCTGCTCTCAATTTGTAGATCCTGAACTAGTACTTATTTTCTAATTCAATATACAAAATACTGGTACAAGTAGGCACCAAAACAAACATGCGCCACACAAATAAGGGAATGGATTTTTGAAGAGATAGTGGAAAGATATGGGGTAACATCAAAAATAGTGTATGGTGAGAGAAGTGGTTCAGTTGACCAGAGTTCTTTCAGTTAAAGTTCCCATCAAATTTTAAAATGATGAGCGTAAAATAAAACTACAATGGTACAGCTAATGCCTTTTGTTCTGATTCATATCTAGTAACGTCTAAACCGACCGTAGCTGCTATTTTGATGTGGCGATCAGGTTTGCCTATCGTGGCTACTCAACTGAGCTATATTGGATGGAAAGTATGTTCCTTTAGGTTTTACCATACCAGATACGTCGATTGGAGACTAAAAGTAGCGACTCAATGTCTGAAGGGCAAGTTGTACTGCTCATTGCGGAGGGGTGTGATAGCAGTAAGGTGTTTCTCACGGACAACTAACATCTGCAGCCAAGCTGCCTTTTCACACGGAAGGAAGCGGCTGGAAAAGGTCGACCCTAAAAATGTTACACCTCACCTCACCCCACGGATTTCCATCTCCGGCGGAAAGGACATTCGAAGAGCGGAGCTAACACGTCAAGAGCTTCACATAAAAAGGTCATGTGAGACCAGCCTCAAGCAATTGCCTCTTGCGCTCTGTGGTCACTATATCACCTTTTCCTGCTGAAAAATAGGTCGTCCTCTTAGGTTTGTAAGCCTCCTTTTAGCTGTACTGATACATATCTTTAAATGAAGCCCGGGCTTTTCTTTTGAATACCCTCTTATCTGAGACACCGTGAGATGAGGTTTAGTTTGGGATTTTCCTGGGTCTGTTTCTTCGTCGCTGGATCTTCGTATACCCACTATATTACCCCAACTAGAGAGTTATGATGGACCGATAGACCCGATTTTTGTACAAATCTCTTCCATACAATGACACCATGTCAAAAAGTGATATTTTTATTCATCACAGAGGAACTCGTTTTATATACAAACTATTTATTACACTAAGATTGTATAACAGTCTGTAATAGTTTACCGATGTATGTTGAGTTTCGTGTGAGGCATTTTTTACGTAACATACATTACACCACACACCGATGTACATACTCAAAATACAGAAAACTGATACCGGGACACCCGATATATGTCGATTGCATTCCACACCTTACTCCAGTTACTTAGGTTTAGAAAATCACGTACTACCACTAGCCCTCAAACGCAAAAATATGCCTCAAAACTGCTTTGAATTAAAACTGAGTTATGCATTTTTAAATTACAACTAGGTGAGAGATTCTTTTATTTTTGTACCAGGATCTATGCTAATTCAACAAACTGGACGACTAAGACAATAACACTTTATCGATTACCCTCAGAGTAACTGCAACAGAGAAAAGAAAAGAAATCTTGTATGAAAACTTTTCGTGATAGATGCCAGAGAAGAATTAATTTATTTTAGTTTGTACAAATTATATAGTGAATATTTAACTATTATTAATTACGAAATTTATCAGATTAAGCGATTCGTAATCAGAATACAAAATCATATTACATTAGTTAATACAGTCAGTCAGATGCAACGTAGAACCTCGTACATAAGTACATCAGTTCATGTTGCCATACCACATTAGCACACAGAGAAGTAATTGTCAATTCAAATCCAATAGTAGAAGAGGCAGTAAGGGAATTAGAAGTAATCGGAGAGGTTAGGATTAGAAGATATTATTCAAGAAGTATGATTCAGTGAGATAAGTTTAGAGAGTCGAAACTAGAGGTGTTGAAGAATTCAGAAGATTAGCATTTGAGAGAACACAAAGAATAAATGCACCGGCGCCATTGCGAACGATTTTGAGCCATGTCATTCAAGGTCTCTAATCATCGATTATTATCATCTCGCGGACCCCAACCAGGTAGTCGACAATTACCGACATGGCTAAGTCCACTTGTCAATGACTTCATGGATTTCTGCCATGTTTTGGTTTGGCCGCCCCTAACTTTCTTCCAACCTACTACTACACTACAAAACAAAGTTCGTCGAGGCAGTCGGTGGTTCGGCGTAGGCAAGACATGTCCCAACCACCTCAACTGATGAAGTTTCATTACTTCATCTATTGATCTGCCATCCTTACCTAGTACTCGTTTCCTAACGACAGCATTGCTCACTCGGTTGTCCCACGGTATACGAGCAATGCAGTACGACTTCGCCCTCAGACCTTGGGTAGCTGCTTTTAGTCTCATCGTTCTCCAATCGACCAGCCTGGCATGGTAGGACCTTCAGGAACATATGTTCCAGCCAAAATAGCTCGGCTGGGTCATCATGATAGGCAAGCCTGACCACCACGTCAAGGTAGCAGCTACGGTCGGGATTAGTTAATACACTAAAAATTTCAGTAATCCCTAAAATCTCTCTCCCTATTACTAACTAAAAATAGAAAAAAACTATGTATTGAATAAATCAATGCTATCAAGAACAGTAAAACTTAAAATTTAAAGTTTACTATAAGCTTAAAACTTATTTCTTCTTATTTAAGACTCAATATCCTTAACAACAAACTAGTACATGAAATTCCGATTGATGATTGAGTTGTACCAACCATATGCCCTTAATTTGTATTAACAATCCTAAAATATACTGATCACATTAGCCAACGGCATTGATAACCCTAAATGCTAAAATGCTAATCAATACGGAAGAGTTTACCTTCATGAAAAGTCCTGATATTTGAGCTAATGCACGATCTGCTTCGTTATTTGAAGAAAATACAGCTAAACAATGAGTATCATCAACCCATTTAAGGTAAAATCCACTATCATTGAATCCGGTGAGTTCTGCTTCCAAGTGAAAAGTTTGAAAGTCTTTTGAAAAGTTATATAATTCTATAATATGTTGAAAATCTTCCAATCTAATGACTGGTTCACTATTGCTATCATTACGTGAGGATTTTTGATTAAAAAGTTTCTTTTTGAATACAGTCCCACCATTATTATTACAGTCATCAGAAAGTGTAAGTGATTCTAATTGTTTTAACACATCAGTTTGTTCATTCACAGAAGCACATTGTATTGGACAATCGGAGGATAACTCTTTTTTAGCCTCTGCAACACTTTTTTCTGCTCTTAAAGCTGGCGGAATATATAATGTTTGTGCTGGCTTCCTTGATGTCATGTGTAACTAACCGAATAATGGAATCTATGAAGTTAATATATAAAAAAACAGAAACGATAAATTCAACTAACATAGTTTAGATTTGTATACAGTAACAATGATTACCGATCAAACACATTTAAAGACTCTGAAAACTTTGTAATTAAAAATGGCGTCTGAAAAGTATGATGTACGGAACGTAATGCAGTAAATAGTGAACAATAAATTTTATTTAATTTATACTTGATTTAAATAATTAATGTATAAAAAACCGCCGATTTGAAAAGAAAATTATCGACTTAACTAGATGAGGATTCAGTTATATCTCAATCTGAATGACGTTCAAAATGTAAACCTTTAGATTTCTACTCAGTAGGCTAAAGCTATTGTGCTCACTTCAAGATCTGAAGGTTGTAAGTTGGATTCTGTGTTTAGCTATCAAAGTAAAAAACCTGAAATGAACAGATCCAAGATGCGACAACGGTGACTGAAACACGCTTATAACGGATCTTATGGTGTTAATAATCGTCCAGTGCTACATTTTTCTCACTTCCTTATGCTCAAAGTTAGTGTTTGCCAGAAAAAGGCAGTTATATGAGCATGGCTGCAGCAGACGGTTGCCAGTGTGTGATCTATGGGTCGCGACACTATAAGATCTACCCAGGTGTCTTTCCTTTTTGTTTAGTTTACCTACTTAAGCATTAAAGTCACCCGCCACCATTACTACAAAAGACTGCCTAACTTTTAGAAGCTCCGGAAGCTTTCTACAAGACTCACCTTTTACCTCTTTTGAGCTGCAGTAAGTGAGAGTGCAGACAACTAATAGCCAACAGCGAGTGACCCTGTCTTACTAAGTTCTAACTGTCCCGTTTAATCGGATAGCGCTTGAGCGACTATCTACTGGGATCCAGTTTGATCTAGTTCAGCCTGTTAAGTAAGCTTGAAAAACCCTTTAGGATAAATTAAGTTCGTGAGCATATGTATCGAAATCTTCACAGGGAATATTCCTACAGAGCTAAGAAAAATTGGGAAATGTTACTGTGTTTTCTTGCGGAAGCAAAACCAAAATGTCCCTTTTGCAATATAAACTTTGAGAAAACTAACCATCGCATTTTGTAACAGCTTTTAAAAGTACTAACTTAATAGTTAATTACCTTGAAATTGTTTGCTTGGTTCATACATTGAGCATATCAAGTTTATGTCGCCTGGACACAAAATATGAATTTTTCCGATTTAAAAGCAGTGAAAACTTAATTTTGAGAAGGCAAATCAAGCTACAGACCATCAGAAACCATTCGGAAACAACATGAGCCTAACATACCATTCTTTAGTCCGCAACGCAAAGTAAGAATAGAGCGCATCCAATATCCAATATCTTTTTCATGAGCCAGTATAAACCAGTTGATTTATTTGCGCTTCATTCTTGTTCTTTCGATACGGTTCCAGATATTTGATAGTGTCCAACAGATGGAGGTCTAGCCACTCGACTGTCTAATTCTAGTCAGTTGGCAGTTGTTTGTAAGTTTGTATGTCAAGTGATTTGCATGAGTGAGTTTGTCACACACCCGAAGGGTTTCTGGATACCAGTAGCTATCACGTTACCAGGGCGGATATCAGTTATCTGCAATGTAAAGATTATTGAGGAGAAAATTGTAATGCTAATAAGAAGCGGATTTCAGAACTAAGTAATAAATAGATTATAAAGTTTATCAATTGGTAGTGAAGATTGTGAGAGAGGACCGAATTGTAAGCAAGGGAGAGAAAACAGAGGTAACAAGCCAAACAGATTGGTTTAGTGATCTGAAGAGACGGTAATAATAACAAGAAGCAAGTTTCAAGATATGCATCAGGCGCAGCTTGTCCATGAGGGAGATGATAATCCGTATGTGAGTATATGATTATCAGGTCTCTTCTAAAGCTGTCCATTGAAGGGGCTGTGTTCACCTCGGCTAGGAGAGCATTTCAAGTTGCAACGACTCTCAATGAGGAAAAGTGTGCACGAACCTGGGTATTCTCTCTTTGATGCGCAATGTCTCCAGGATTGCCTCGACGGTAGTGGTGGTGATGCATCATTAAGATGCTCATGTTGGGAAGAGTTGGTACGTTTGATATGTCTTACACCATAATAAGATCACCTCTCATTCCCCTGTAACTTGAGGGAAATAATCTCAAGTGCTGTTATTTATCTCTGTAAGGTTTGTTCTTCAACCCTATCATGCATCTCGTTGCTCGTTTCTGCACTCGATCCGAGAGGTTTATGTCTCTTTTAAGGAGAGGGGGTGCGACGACGTTATGGCAGCTAACATGGCTAAGGAATCTTCAGGAAACCTTGGCCGGATCCCTAGGTTCTGTGTACATCGAGAGTAAGATATTTTTCATTTATATATATGGCTGATTCATTGACTAATTTCCTTTCAAGGCCCGAACTTTAGAGAAGCTTTTATAATAGAGTCCTTTATGCCCTGATAATGGTAGTTTACCCACCTTTGGATTTATTTTTGTGGATAAGCGATAATAATAATGGATTTGAAGAGACTGTGCTGGGGGGACACAAGCTTGCTAGCGGAGTTTAACAACGTCAGTTTCAGAATGGTGCTGAGTTTCAGCATTTAATCTCCGGACTTAGTGCTTGTTTCGTTGTTACAGACGTCGTCGAAGACCATCTTTTTTCCTTCCACGTCATCATTTGTTGGCCCATCCGTTGCTAACTTCTTTGTTCAGGGTGGTTGTAATTTTTTTCCCCAAACATGTCAGAAGACTGGTGATGTTATTTAGCATGTTATCATCATTTATACTGCATGTATTGCATTCCCACCTAGGACCTAACTACAAAGTCGGCTGTTTGAATTTTGTTATTAATAATAGTATTTATTCTCAAATAACAATGTGTTCTACCAGGCATGCCAGTTTACAAGCGACATTAACTATATCGGTTTGCGCAGTTAGATGAATAATATGAGTCCATTTCTGACAGCACGCTTACCCCATGTCGCAGACAGGAACAGCCACAAGTGATTACAAGTAGAGTAGGTACTCAGCGGAGTTCTTGTATGGTGCGCATAACTCGGGGTTGAGATTGTTTTTTATTACGGCAGCGATTGATATTTTTCGAGAAGGATATTAGTTCAGCAAGATTGGTATGGAAGACACAAAGCATAGAATAAACACAATTTAGATGTAATTTGAAACCCATATTTTATTCAGATTTTGATCACTCTAACTTTAAATATAAAGGTATCTTTTGAGTTTTTGTCCGTTTTGGGGCTATCATTTGATAGATGCACGTATTTACCCTTAAAATTCTTTTTAGTGTGAAGTGCTTGCTTTACAGTTGGACAAATTATAGTTATCTCATTCCACTACTCTTTGTTGTCTGCATCAGTAGTTTCCAGTGTAAACTTAGCAGCTAGTATTTTGATCGGATTGAGTGCGGGTAAATTTATAACTTTATCTCAGCATTTCAAACATTCAAAACAAGAAAGGTGTGGAATTGATCAAGCTCTCGACTGAAAATCCCTACATATCAGATTTCAAGCTTCATCAAAAATTTCAGGACTGTAAGTGTAGGAAGAAAAATTTTGTTTGTCAGTGTTTATGTCGAAAAGATTTAATTCAACTGGCATAACTTTTAATATTTGTCGCCAAGTTTCTTCTCAGTGGTTACAGTTTTGTTTGGAGTATTCACAGTTCATTAATCATCGCTAAGATCGGAACACACCACATTACGTTCCATTACCAAGCCGCTTTTGAGGTAAGTTTTTGATATACTTTGAAGTTTATTCCACTGGCACTAATTTGGTTTCCATTGCCTGTTAGTGAACATAACTTCCTAGAATTTCAACTGATTACGCAAAATATCGATCATTGGATAATTATGCTTCTCCAATACGCTCTCATAACATGCGAGAGACCTAGACTTGTAATAGTACAGCAAACATTTTGATATTTGGTCTTAAGGCAGAATTGTAACAAACCAAAGTTACTCGATTGGACTGAACTGCGTTCTTCTACAAAATCAAACAGATTCAAAAGAAAGATTTCTTGCTAAATCACTTTTAAGTTTACAGCAAAAATAAATTTCACCAAGGGCACTAAATAGTGTAGTATACGATAAAATGAATGGTTCATGAATAAGTGTCCGACCCAGGAGTATTCCTAAAAAATGAGCCGGATATCTGTCTTCAAATATTTGAGTAACTGTCTTTCAAAGGAGGTCAAAGATCAACATTCCACACTGTAAATTTGAGCACCGCCAAACTTGACCTGATTACCAGTAATTTTTATTACCCGGAAAGGTACAACAACACAATTAAAAAAATAAAGGTTAGCTGTGAATGAAATCGTGTAGCAGAGACCTAAACAAAACAGCTGGGAAGTTGAAGACATAATTATGACAGTTTTGATTTACTGTACATAAATAAACAGATGACAGTATTGTCTAATGAAACATCCAGGTTGGATTTCCAGAGCATCCGTTCTATTGAAATAGCCGTTGAACTCATCACATTACTAACTATCAATTTAATTAAAATTATTTAGTGATCTTTCTTGTTTGCTAGTACTTAATCTGATACAGATTCCTGTTATTTATTCTACATGTGAGTGTAATGAAATGTTTCATCGAGTCTCTAGTGTAACTTTACCTGAACGAAGTAATTGCACGGTCAGAAGTGGTCGAAAATACTGCGAGTATGATAGATAAAAAACCAAATTCCTAGAGAATCATGTCTCTAGAAAAGAAACAATAAAATGTCCAAACTGAAACTATTAAATGAAATAAAGAAACATTGTGATCTTGCCTCTCGTAACATGTTGTTGTTTCATAATAAATTATTGATAAAAACTCATGTGTTGGTTGATTTGATGCGTTACTTGATTGATAAAGTTCATTTTGATGGATGTACAGATTGGTAAGATCAAATTTTGCAATTGTTAAGTTTTAACATTCATGTTTGGTGGTGTAGCAAAATCTTTGTAAATCAGTTTATATGATTTCAGTGAACCATTGGTGGTTAGAAACCATCGGTTGTTACTTCAAATTCTCCGAACCATTTCCGCCTTCCCGTTTAAGTGTACGAAGCAAGGATTTTATGATGAATTACATTATTTGATTGAGCGTTGATATGAAAATGGTTGTTTGCTTATGATTAAGTTAAACGTCTATTGGAGCAAAATTACATGAAGTATGACGACAAAGTTAAAAATCTTCACTAGTCTGAATGTTTGCCCCAATGTCAGCAAAATGACATTGTTGACATAAATATTCTTGTAATTGTTTCTGACCGTTCATTTGGGTGTCACTAACTTAATAACTTGGTGCGTAAGTACAAATACATATGATAATCATAATGAGGTTGAACAGGCCGTCTAGAAATTCTTTTAACCAGTGCTTCATATAAATATGCCGGAAACGAAATTCTGCTACATATATGGAGTAAGAAAGTCGAATCATGGGTTAACGTGCTACGTGGCAGTGTATGAAAACCGGATAGTAAGCAACAGCGAAGTGGTGATCAACAATTTAAATAAAGTTTAGAAGGTAACAGAGCCATCTTTTAAAATGCTGATGCAGAAGGTTTGGCATCGGGCGGTCATTAACATATCACACACAGTGATGTGACGAAGTATCTAATCAAGATATGGACTGAGATGGTTTGCGTACAATCAATACGCTTTTACAAAGCATGTAACCTTATGTGGCATAAATATACACTATTCCGAATGCAATTTGAGTGATGAAGTGTAAGACTGTCGTATTTAAAAGTGACTGATAAATGTCACCAGGTATCATAAACACGATAGAAAGTAAACTATTGCTATTACTATTGCTCCCTTACGTACTGAATGTTCAAAGCAGTCAGTTATCCGACACTGCGTAAACCGAGAAAATTCGATGCAATACTTGTTAGTTATTTCCATAACTAACTGTATTTATATCATAACTAACCAATGAAATTGTGGTTTAAGCGCCCACCACGTGATCTGATCTGACGTGTCTGTAAACTTTCTCTGTTGTAAATGGCTTTTGCTCGTCTTACTTGATAATTGTAATTTCCTTATTTATTGTACTAATTTAATTGATTTTACGTTTAGAAACAGATAAATTTTAAAGTAAAACTAGTCTTGTTCTGACTACAGATTTCCCATAAACTCTGTGCTCGCCAATATTGCGTTTACAATTCCAGAAGTTCATCTGCGGGACAAATTAAATCCTACAATACTGTGGTTTTAAAGTTTTGGATTTACATATAGGTGTGTAGGAAAATCTCTGACACTTGCATCTTCTATCTAAACACGGAATATTAGGCAGGCAGTGATCACGTAGACAAATTTCTAGGGAGTAGTAAGTGGTGGTGAGTAGCGAATAAAAT